TGAGGACAAGAATATCATAGAATTGGACTGCAAGTATATCTTGTTAGAACATAAACTCCATGGGAACAGACAAGATGTTGATCTTGCCTACTCTGGTACTCCTAGGGGTACCAGAAGCTATGGCTCATGTAGTAGAATGCCAACCTTGAGCAAAAAAAGCTAAGGGACAGCGCCCAGTACCAGCACACACACACACACAAACATCTCTTTCAGGTAAGCCCTTCTCTACCTTGAGCTCCCATTGATATTACTAAGGAATAGTACCCTTAAACTTCATAGATAAAACTATGGTTAGAATATTCTTTTTTGTGGGTAGGAGTAGAGTATCTTTGTATGATTACTCTTCTGTTCTAAAATTTTAACAAAAACTCGCATCCAAAGGCTATTTTTGTTGTTGTTGTTGTTGGTCATGGGCCTGAACTCTGGGTCTGAACTGAGGGTACCGTCCCTCAGCTCTTCAGCTCAAGGCAAGTGCCCTACTACTTGAGCCACAGTGGCACTTTCGTTTTTTTCTGCTTATGTGGTGCTGAGGAATCGAACCCAGGGCATGCAAGACAAGGCAAGCACTCTACCACTCAGCCATCTTCCCAGCCCGTGGGCTTTTTCTTTATGCCACTTTCTTCACCCTATTCAGAGCCATTTCTCTTCTAGCATGTTCTCTCATCTGAAGAGTCTAAGAATTCTCAAAATCAAGTAGACTTTTGTTTCATAGTTCTCTCAACTGATGCCTCTCCTCTTATTTTTCTTTTTGAGAAGAAACCCCAAGGTACCTACATTTAGAAATATCCATCACTGGGGCTGGGAAGGTGGCTCAGTGGTAGAGCGCTTACCTTGCATGCCTGAGGCCCTGGATTCGATTCCTCAGCACCACATAAGAAAAAAGAAAAAAGCCGGAAGTGGCGCTGTGGCTCAAGTGGTAGAGCGCTAGTCTTGAGCTGAAGAGCTGAGGGACAACACCCAAGCCCAGAGTTCAGGCCCCACGACTGGACGCCACCCACCCCCCCAAAAAAAGAAAGAAATATCCATCACTACATATCCAAGTTCATCACTCCCATGTTGCACCTTTGATCTAATTTCACGGTAGGTATGATTACGTTTTCCAGTCTGTGGTATTTTGTTATGGCAGCCATTGCAGAATAACATATACAATAACTAACTCCAAGAATTGATTGCACAGGAGTCAAGAGCAGTGGGCTGGATTCTAATCTTAGCTTGCCACTCTGACTCTAGAATGACACTTAACCCTGTTATCTATAAAATAACTAGCTTTAAGTAGCATCTCTTCAGTTCCCTTAAAACATCCAAACTGGGGTTGGAGGTATGGCTCAGGTTGTACAGCGCCAGCCAATGAGCAAAACCATCAGAACCAAATTCAAGTCCTAGTCTCAAAAAAAGCCAGGTGTTGTTGCCTCACTAATCCTAGCTACTCAGGAAGCTGAGAGCTAAGGATCATGGTTAAAAGCCAGCCCAGGCACATAAGTCTGTGAGACTCTTATCTCCAATTAACCACCAGAAAACTGGAAGTTGTGCTGTAGCTCAAGTGGTAGAGTACTTGCCTTGGGCTAAAGAGCTCCAGTACAACTCTGGCCCAGGCCCAGAGTTCAGGCCCCACCACCGACAAAAAAAAAAAAAAAAAGTTGGACACCTGTGGCTCATGCTTGTAAGGCTAACTACTCAGGTAAGTCCAAGAGACCCTTATCTCCAATTAATCACCAAAAAGCTGGAAGTGGAGCTGTGGCTCAAGTGATTGCTAGCCTTAAGCAAATAAAGCCCAGTGCCCAGTCCCTAAATTCAATCCCTATGACCAGCACAGGGAAGGGGGTGGGTGGAGGAATCTTCAAACTAAAATTGTTTAATTCATACATTGTGGGCCACGGTTCAAGCATTATAATGGAAGGATCCTATCCTCAGTTTCAAAGACTTACTTAGAAGCATGTCCATGATGGAAATGAAATTGATAGCAAAATAAAATCTATAAATAGTCTAACTATAGTATATTACACCAGAGAAAGACAAGATAATAAAAGTAAAAATAGGGAGTGTGAAAGATGAAAGATGGAATATAGACATGTGTAAATGTAACAAAGAAATACCCCCCTTGTATAATTAATATAAATGAACAAAAAAATGCTTAGGTAAATAAATATGTAACAAACTGCTTTGGTAATAACTAACTGCAAGCTCTAGTGTTAAGAAATCTTGTTCTTTAAAATTATACATTAGCAGGGCTGGGAAGGTGGCTCAGTGGTAGAGCGCTTGCCTTGCACGCATGAGGTCCTGGGTTCGATTCCTCAGCACCACATAAGCAAGAAGAAAAAAGCCGGAAGTGGCATTGTGGCTCAAGTGGTAGAGTGCTAGCCTTGAGCTGAAGAGCTGAGGGACAGCGCCCAGGCCCACAGTTCAGGCCCCACAACCGGACCCAAAAAAATAAATAAATAAAATAAATTTATACATTAGCAAATCCCAAAGTGAGGATGGTATATCCCACCTTTGTTAGGACCCAAACCATATGCATTACATTTTAAAACTTTTTCAAATAGTTTTATTGATGTATAGTTGACAAACTACAACACTTGAATATACAATTGATGTTTTAAAAAAGTATATACCAGCCAGGCACCAGTAGCTCACACCTGTAATCCTACCTACCTACTAAGGAGGCTGAGATCTGAGGATCACAGTTCAAAGCCAGCCCAGGAAGGAAAGTCCGTGAGATTCTTATCTCCAATAAACCACCAGGAGAAAAAAACAAAAAACAGAAGTGGTGCTGTGGCTCAAGTGGTAGAGCACTTGCCTTAAGCTATAGAGCTGAGGGACAGCCCTCAGGCCCAGAGTTCAAGCCCCAGGACCGGACACACACACACACACACACACACACACACGTATGGCTGGGAAGGTGGCTCAGTGGTAGAGTGCTTGCCTTGCATGCATGAGGCCCTGGGTTCCATTCCTCAGCACCACATAAGCAAAAAGAAAAAAGCCAGAAGTGGCACTGTGGCTCAAGTGGTAGAGCACTAGCCTTGAGCTGAAGAGCTGAGGGACAGTGCAAGGCCCAGAGTTCAGGCCCCAGCACCAGAGCCAAAAAAAAAAAAAAAAGTATATATCTATAAAATCATCATCTCAGTAAAGTACATACGCATCATTCCAAGTTTCCTAATACTCCTGTTTAATACCGTCCTCCCTCCTCTGCTTCCACCTCACATTCCCAAATAACCATTGCTTTTCTCTCATCATAGATTAGTTCACATGTTCTCATTTTACATGAGCAGAATCATATACTATATGCTCTCTTTTCTTTTTGGTATAGTTTCTATCAACATAACTAAGATGCATTCATGCTGTATTTGTAGTTCATTTTTATTTGAGTGATATTCCTTTATATGTCACCCACAGAAAAGGCAGTTCTTATTTCTGAACCTGAGCTTCTTGTTAGGTGTTCAAACTCATTTTACATTTATCTTAACTTTACTGTTTTTTAAGGAATTAGGATTCTCAATCTATTTAGATCAAAGCAGGTATTAACAGCATTCCTCACAGCCTTGCTTGTTTCGAATTTTTTGAATATTTGCTTCACTTAAATCTTACATAAAGTCCATCATTATATAAATTAATAAACCTAACTTTGTGGAACTACACTGTATTCTTGGTGGTCTTTATCAAATGTTTTATTTAGTTAGTTGGTTGTGGGGCTTGAACTCTGGGCCTGGGCACTGTACCTCAGCTCTTCAGCTCAAGGCTAGTGCTCTACCACTTGAGCCACAGCACCACTTTCAGTTTTCTGTTGCTTTATTGGAGATAGGAGTCTCACAGACTTTCCTGCCCAGGCTGGCTTTGAACCATGATCCTTTCTGCCTCCTTAGTAGCTAGGATTACAGGCCTGAGCCACCAGCGCCCTGCTTCAGATGTTTTATTAATTGATATGACTGCTGACTACAATATGTGAAAAACAATAAAGCACATGACCTTATTTTTTATATAAAATGTAAGTATATGGAAATACAATGAGTTAAAATAAGTATATCTGTTATTACTAAATACAGTAAACATTTGTCCTCTATTTTGTAAGACAATGACAGAAAATAAAAGCAATAAAGGCTATGTAACTGTACTGAATTGAGACTTGTTTGTTTGAAGGGACTTGCACATTCCTTTATTATTGTAATGGGGTTTTTTTGTTTTTTGTTTTGTTGATCTTGGGGCTGGAACTCAAGGCCTGGGTACTGTCTTTGAACTCTTTCAATCAAGCCTAGAGCTCTATTACTTTGAGCCACAGCTCCACTTCGGTTTTCTGGTGGTTAACTGGAGATAAGTTTCACAGACTTTCCCATCCACACTGGCGTTCCTCAGATCTCAGCCTCCTGACGCCCGGCTACTACAATAGTTTTATTTCATAAAACCACAGGTGTTCTATCTGAAATGGTCAGAAAAACTTCTTAGGAAAAGCTTATCTAGAATAAAAACATGTAGGATTATAAACCTTAAAAATATGAATGGAATGTGTTAATTTTGAGTTGACACAGATGCCAATGACAACTTCTGAGTCTTACAGCCTTCTACAACTTAAGTCTTTAGTCATAAGCCTGTATAAGTTTAACAGTTCATTTTTATTATTTACAGAACTCCCACCCACGCAACATAATCACTGCTGCATAAGTAGGTCAAAATTCTCCTTGGCTCCCTTTGGCATTCGGCGTTAGTATTTAGTTCACTTGTTTACGTGCCCATGATCATTTCGTGTAGGACATACCAAGTTTCCTTATAACAAAATGAAAATGTAAAACCTTGAAGAATCTCCCACTCATCCTGGGTAATTAAGTCTGAAAAGGCACTTCTTCTCCTTCTAATGCTACTTGCCGCAGCCGATCAACAAAGCAGATTTTCCTATTTTGGGGGAAGTGGTTTAAGCGAAGTTACGTAAAAAGCTTTCCCAGAAAACCATGAAGCTCCCTCGACACGCAAATACCCACTCATGTGCTTCCTTTCATTCTTTCCTATTATAGCTACGAATTAGTAGGAAAATAACAGCGCCGCCCCCGGGTTTCCGCACTTCGGAGCGCGGGACTGACAGCAGGCGGCCGGAGAGAATGAATGGGCTGCCCGCCGGCGCCGCGCCGCGCCGCACAGCACCGCACCGCACCGCGCCGCAGTCCGGCGGACGCGCGTTAGGCTCACTGGCCCGGAAGATGAAGCCCCAGTTTGTGAATGAACCAGGGGCCGGCTTCAGCCCACCGCGGCAGCCTCCAGCGGAGCCTGACCGTCGGGAAAGAAGGCCGCTCCCCCTCGCACCCCCTCCTCACACAGGAAGGGAGCACCGCCCGACACCTACTCGGGGCGACTCCGAGCCGGCCGGTTCCCGGCTCTTCCCCCCGCGCGGCTACCCCCGCCCTCCCCCGAGAGCCCCACCCCGGCGCTCACAGCGAGCGCCACGTCTCTCAGAGCTCGCGCCCCCAGCGGCCCCGCGAGGCTTTGCCCCCTTTAAGTCACCCCGCCACCCGTCTAGAGTCACCGGCTCCCCGGGCTCCGCGTCTCTCTCAGGCCGAAACCAGCCAACGCCAACCTCACTCGTCGCGTTTCGCCCCGGCCCCGCCCACGTGACACCTACGACCCGCCCACCGCGCTCACGTGACCTACGCACATTTCTCTCCTCCCCGCCCCTCCGCCCCCGCACGCGCGGCGAGGGTCGCGGCCGCAGCCGCCATTGTTCCGCCGGGGGAGGCCAGCGGGGGCCTGGCGCCGGCGCCGAGACGCCGCTTAGCGGCCGCCACTGGAGACACTCCTCTCTCTCCCACCTCTCCTCCTGGTGGCGGCGGCGGCGGCGGCGGCGGCGGCGGCGTGAGGCTGACTGGGGCGGGGGGAACCCGGAGCCTCCTCTGCCCTTCCCGCGGCGGCAGCGGCCGATCCCCGGCTCCAGCGCGAGGGGCGGCCGCGATGCGTTGGGCCTGAGGCGCCCCGGCCCTCGCTGCCTCCCTCGACTGTCGCACAGCCCCTCGGCGCCCCGGCGTCATCCCGTGAGTCCTTCTGACGGGGAGGGAAGATGGCTGCACGGAGCTGGCAGGAGGAGCTGGCCCAGCAGGCCGAAGAGGGTTCGGCCCGACTGCGGGAGATGCTGTCGGCCGGCCTGGGCTTCCTGCGCACCGAACTGGGCCTCGACCTGGGACTGGAGCCGAAGCGGTACCCAGGCTGGGTGATCTTGGTGGGCACCGGCGCGCTCGGGCTGCTGCTGCTCGTCCTGCTGGGCTACGGCTGGGCCGCGGCTTGCGCCGGCGCCCGCAAGAAACGGAGGAGCCCGCCCCGCAAGCGGGAGGAGGCGGCCGCCGCGCCGGCCCCGGCCGCGGATGACCCGGCCCAACTGAAGAATCTCAGGAACGAGGAGCAGAAGAAGAAGAACCGGAAGAAGCTTCCTGAAAAACCCAAAGTGAGTAGGGGCGAGCGGGCCGGTGCGGTGGGTACGGCACGGACGCCCCGGAGCCAGGAGGCCGAGTCTCCTCCTGGAAGGAAATAGAGTGCGTTAGGCGACAGGCGAGATGCAGATCTGCCAAAGGGGAGGCGGTGATGGACGGACACATTACTTAGAGAATGGGAGAAACTCAGGAAGGGTTAGGGCAGACGAGTGGGCAAGACCAGTTTACAAGAAAGGAAGTTAGAGGGTGGGGGGGAGGGGGTTACCCAGACTTCAAACCTTGACCTTTCTTGTGGCCTACAGGGTAGATTGTAAGAGGAGGGTAATGGGATCTTCCGGTGGTGTTGGGAAGTTCTGGAAAGACTGTACCTGGAAGACAGTCTCTCTAAGTCACATTGTGACAGGGGCTACTGAAGAAAATAGGGTGACCTAAAAACTCGGGCTTACAGAGGATTAAAGGTGTCTGTGTCTAGATGTGCTTCCATTTTAGTTGGGACTGGAAACGGGAAATGGTTGCCCACTCTTGGTGTAGTCAATGTGGTCAGATAGAGACCGGGAACAGCAGTGGGGCAAGAGGGAGTGAGACTCATAATATTCTTGTGAGCTATTTGGCGCCATGAAAGAGAGCTAAAGCAAGTTCTGTAAATGGGCTATTGTACACCCGGTGATGTGGGAGATTTTTAGAAAAAAATTAAGGGATGACAGGGCAGAAAGGTGAAGATTGGGAGGTTTCAAGCACCACGTGTCGAAACGCAGAGGTAGAGCCTCTGTGCGGAGTTTTACTTTTACTTTGTGTATGTGTGTGCCCATTCTCATACTGGGCTTAAACTCAGGGCCTCATGCTCTCACTTGGCTTTTTCCACTCAAGGCTGAAGCTCTACCTCTTGAGCCACACCTCTGCTTAGGGATTTTTGCTGGTTAGAGTTAAGAATTTCATGGTCGGAGTTCTCTCTCCCCTTTCCCCCTTTGATCCTTAGATCTCAATGAGCCACCAGCCCCGGCTGCTTCAACATTTTTTATTGCCTTCTCCGTATGGTTTTCACATTATGTTTCAGTGTTTTTTTGTTTTTGCTTTACAGTTGAGAATATGGAGGGTGTGCAGACTTAGAAACATCTTCTAGCCTATCATTTGCATTAAATGACCTTTCGGGTACAATTTAGTAGCCAGTTTCAAAGCCTTACTGTGCAGAAGTACACTTGGTGTGTTTTGTGGTTGGTGCAAGGTATGCACGTAAGAGTTAGAATCCACCAGGAGACTAAGTGTAGGAGGCTGATTTCTAAATAATTATATCCATAGGCTCATTGGTGCTAATAGAGGCATGTACAGGATGTTATTGAGGTTTGGGAGATTTAATTCTACTGAAGGGACTTAGGAAACTGATCGCAGGAAGTGGAGCTTCATGCCAAACAAATGAAAATGTTGGTAACCATTTTTAAAAAGTCTTTATAATGACAGGTCACAGTGTAATAGGCCTGGATAAGTGTTCAGCTTTTTGCTTGCTGATTAACAAGATACAAGATAGGAAACCTAGAACATGGTGAAGAATTGTCAGTGTGCTACTCCTTTATGGTAGATGAACAGAAAATTTACTCAATTTAGAATGTATATATTTAAACTTTTGTAGACATTGTCAAGGATTACTGGAAAGTAACAGAAATACAGAATCCAGCTCCACAATAAAGAAAATTGTCTTGGAGGCTGGGAGGACCCCCAGACATTAATCTTAAAATCTGTGTGGATATGACAGGTTGTGAAAATTACAAATCCCTATTTAGGACATCTAGAGTTTCAGATGGACTTGAGGAGAGAGACAGGTGCTCCAAGAGCCCATCTGAAGTACATTATAGCATTCAAATGACTCATCAGAAGAAGAAACAGACTCTGGTGAACATTTGTACTAGGAAAAATATGCATTAGACTTAGGACTTACTCTCTTCCTTTTCATTTGTGGTAAGGAAAGAGGAAATGAATGATTGAACCTAATATAAGTTTTGAGGGGTAGAGAATGGGAGACAGGCTGAATGGTATAATGACTGTTAATTGGGTGAAAAGATATTTATTTCCAACACATACCCACAAAACTGTTCTCTGTGTTTTGAACCAAAGAACTGATTATGAGAGATGACCCCCCCCCCAGTTACTAAAATGCAGCTTTACAGGTCTAAGTATAAACTGCCATTTGTTTAGTTCTCATTATGTGCCTCGCACTATGCTACACATATTTACTTGGAGAAAAGCAATATACTAGTTATATAAACTGAAGGCAGGAAAAAGGGATACAGTATTGTCAGTCTCAGTGTGAGGGAAATACAAAAGTAGAGGCTCATGTTTTCCCCAGGCAGCTTTTTCCCCCAGTTATGGGAAAATATATAGTCAGCCCACCTATTTGTGGGCTCTGCATCCATGGATTCAGCCAAGGATCAAAATTATGACTATCCCACATATATACTTTTTTCCTTGTTATTATTCACTAAACAATACAGAATGTCAACTATTTTTATGTACTAAGTATGATTAATCAAAAGATGACTTCAAGAGTATGAGGCTGTAAGTAATGCACAAACAATGTAATTTTATTATATAGGGATTTGGGCATCTGCAGATTCTTGTACTTTTGGTAGTCCTATAACAAAGTACTTTGCTGGGGGGAAAATTATAACAATACAATCCCACTGTAGGCGTGGGTGGACACAAAAATGCCGAATCACGGCATTTGCTTTTAAAGTGGGTAGGAGATTAGATTAAAGTAGTGGGAGAAGCCTGAGAAACAGCAAAGGCCCAGGGATAGAGGAAGACAATCTGGCTGGCTGGCTGGCTGGCTGGAAAGGGAAACTCTAAACTTGGGTAAAGCATTTAGCCTTAACTATTAGCTTATATTGTTTACATATTAAAGATCTCAAGTACTGTAGAAGTGTCCCTCTTCCAGAATGTTTACAATAGAGTAAAAATTTGTAGCTTCTCAGCCCGTCCTCAGATTTAAAAAAATCAAAATCTCCAGAACAATGTTTAGGGTATCTTGCCTTTTCTTTTCAGACATGGTCTGGCTAGTCCAGGCTGACCTAAATGGTCCTCCTACCTTAGACTACTGAGTACTTGGGGCTCAAGTTGTAAAGTTGCCTACCTAGCAAGCACCAGATCCTGAGTTCAGTTCCTATTACTGCCAAAAACAAAACCAACAACAACAACAAAAAAACACCATTTTTCTAGTCCAGTGTGGTTTAACGCACAGTTGTAACCATCCCAGAACTTGAAAAAGGAAAGAGAACCTTGAGTTCAGACTGACTTGAGCTTCAAAAACAAGGATCTTTAATACAAAATTAATTACCAGATGCAGTCTGTCTATTAATTCATTTGTTCATTACCGCATTCTGTATTTAAGTGGGTTCAGTGATATAACCTGATATAACCTTCCCAGGACTTCATGCATGCTAGGCTAGCACTCTACCACTAAGCCACTTCCCAGGTTCATTACTTCTAAGATAAGAAATATTCTGGTTGCTAGAGTTCTGAGTCTCTGTTTATATTGACTTTTAAAAGGCCCTTTCTGTAATCCTACCTACTCTGGTGGCTGAGATCTGAGGATCACTGTTCACAGAGACTGCCTAGGCAGGAAAGTCCCTTACACTCTTACCTCCAGTTAACCACCAGACAACCAGAAATGGTGCTGTGGCTCAAGTAGTAGAGCTCTCTCACCTTGAGCTAAAGAGCTGTGGGACCAGGCCGAGTTCAAGCCCCAAACTGACCCAAAAAGTGGGGGGAGTAGTTGTGGAGGTGGGAGGGAAGGAATGGAAGAGGAAAAACAAAGGCGGAGGCAACAATGCTCAATAGGAAATGTATTTATTACCTTGCTAATGTAACTGTTACCCCTCTGTACAGTATTTTTACAATAAAAAAGTACCGGGGGGAAAAAAGCCTCTTTTTCTCTACCAGTTTTTGTTGATGTGAATTGGGCTTTGGGTGTGTTGTTTTTGCCAGACCTGGGGCTTGAACTCAGGGCCTGGACATGTCCCTGAGCTTTTTTGCTCAAGGCTAGCACTCTTACCACTTGATCCACAGTGCCACTTCTGGCTTTTTCTGTTCAATTCCTCTGGAATTGAACCCAAAGCTTCCTGCGTGCAAGGCAAGCAAGCACTCTACCTCTAAGCCCAAGCAAGCCTTGAACTAATGTTCTTCCTGTCTTCAGTTCCTATTGAGATATGTACCATCGTATCTGGCTTCTCTTACAAATATTTAGCCATTCTTTGAGGCTCTGCCTTTACTTTAAAGATTTCCATTGTTCCATAGTTATATGTTCCTTGTAACATTTAGCATAATATTTCGTGTTTAGTGGAAACTACAGTTGCCAGTTACAAAAATCAAATTGGTCATTCAATATTCAAACATCTCTGTATGGGTAGCGTAGAGCACCTTGCTAGTGGTTATATACCTAGGTGATACTGTATATACAGTGACAGATCAATATAGTTAATTTTCCTTGCTTTACAGTAGTTATATTCTATAAAGTCACTGCAAACATTGAACTGGTAAGTACTGACTATATCCCCTAAAGAAAATGCAAGTTTAGGTTTCTGCAAACTTCTGATCACATTATTTTCAGCAACCAGTTAATACATGGCTTTGT